CCCCAAAATACCCCAAAATCACCCCAAAAATACCCCAAAAAACCCCACCGTGAGCCACATCTGCGGAGAGAAGGAGGTGAGCCCCAAAAACTCCCAAATCACCCCAAAAACACCCCAAAATCACCCAAAAAACCCCACCGTGAGCCACATCTGCGGAGAGAAGGAGGTGAGCCCCAAAATCCCCAAAATACCCCAAAATCACCCCAAAAACACCCCAAAATCACCCCAAAAACCCCACCGTGAGCCACATCTGCGGCGAGAAGGAGGTGAGCCCCAAAAACTCCCAAATCACCCCAAAATCACCCCAAAATCACCCAAAAACACCCCAAAATCACCCCAAAAAACCCCACCATGAGCCACATCTGCAGGGAGAAGGAGGTGAGCCCCAAAAACTCCCAAAAACACCCCAAAATCACCCCAAAAACACCCCAAAATCACCCAAAAATCACCCCCAAATTGACCTGGGACCCCCAAAACCCAGCCAGGATCCCCCAGATTCAAATCCCCCAAAACCCCAAATGTCCCCAAAATGTCCCAAAATGTCCCAAATGTCCTTTTAGGGTGGATTTTGGGGCTGATTTTGGGGTGGATTTTGGGGTTTTGGGGTGGATTTTCGGGGTGGATTTTGGGGCCAGTTTTGGGGTGGATTTTTGGGATTCTGGGGCTGATTTTGGGGCTGCTTTTGGTGTGGATTTTGGGGCCAATTTTGGGGTTTTGGGGAATGTTTTGGTGCTGATTTTGGGGTGGATTTTGGGGTTTTAGGGATGATTTTGGGGCCGATTTGGGGCCCAATTTTGGGGCCGATTTTGGGGTGGATTTTGGGGTTTTGTGGCTGATTTTGGGGCTGATTTTGGGGTGGATTTTGGGGTGGATTTTGGGGTTTTAGGGCCAATTTTGGGGCTGATTTCAGGGGTGGGTTTTGGGGTTTTGGGGATGATTTTGGGTCTGATTTGGGGCTGATTTTGGGGTGGATTTTGAGGTTTTGGGGCAAATTTTGGGACCGATTTCGGGGAGGACTTTGGTCTTTTGGGGCTGATTTTGGGGCCGATTTTGGGGTGAATTTTGGGGTGGATTTTGGGGTTTTAGGGATGATTTTGGGTCTGATTTTGGGGTGAATTTTGGGGTGGATTTTGGGGTTTTGGGGCTGATTTTGGGGCTGATTTTGGGGTGAATTTTGGGGTGGATTTTGGGGTTTTAGGGCCAATTTTGGGGCTGATTTCGGGGAGGACTTTGGGGTTTTGGGGCTGATTTTGGGGCCGATTTTGGGACCGATTTTGGGGTGGATTTTGGGGTTTTAGGGATGATTTTGGGGTGAATTTCAGGGTGGGTTTTGGGCTTTTAGGGCCAATTTTGGGGCTGATTTTGGGGTGGCTTTTGGGGTTTTGGGGCTGAATTTGGGGCCGATTTCGGGGTGGGTTTTGGGGCCGATTTTGGTCTTTTGGGGCCGATTTTGGGGCCTATTTCGGGGAGGACTGGGCTTTTAGGGCTAATTTTGGAGCCGATTTTGGGGTGGATTTTGGGGTTTTAGGGATGATTTTGGGTCTGATTTTGGGGTGGATTTTGGGACTGATTTTGAGGTTTTGGGGCCAATTTTGGGGTGAATTTTGGGGTGGCTTTTGGGGTTTTGGGGCTGAATTTGGGGCCGATTTCGGGGAGGGTTTTGGGGCCAATTTTGGTCTTTTAGGGCTGATTTTGGGGCTGATTTTGAGGCCGATTTTGGTCTTTTGGGGCCAATTTTGGGGAGGACTTTGGGCTTTTAGGGCTGATTTTGGGGCCGATTTTGGGGTGAATTTTTGGCTTTTAGGGCCGATGAATTCGGGGTGGCTTTGCCCCTCCCCAACATCCCCAATCCCCCAATCCCCCCAAACCCCCCAAATACCCCAAACCCCCCAAATCCCCCAAACCCCCCAAATACCCCAAACCCCCCAAATACCCCAAACCCCCGAAATGTCCCAAAACCGCCCGAAATCGCCCCAAAACCGCCCGCAGATCCCGCACATCCGCGTGGGCCCCGAGGAGGCGCCGCGGCCGCCGCTGCTGCGCCTGGCGGCGCTGAGCCTCCACCCCAGCGACGAGGACGTGAGCCGGGCGCTGGGCGGGCTCCTGCGCAGCCTGCGGGCGCCGCCGGCCTCGCTGATCTGCGCCCGCCCCGAGTGTGAGTTATCGATCACCTATTGGTT